TGTCCAACTGTACAATAAGGAAAACAGGTTTGGGTTATCTAGACCCATTTCAAAGCTTAATATGGCTAAGTCAGACAATGTTGGACAAAGAACTTCTGTTGAGGACATAAATAAGGAGGTATGAACTTCCTTACTCTCCAGCCCAACTCGTGTCTCAGTCAATACACCACTGCTAAAAAACTGGTGCCACTGTACTGAGAATGTTTTATTTCACTGACAATGTGATCAAGGACAGTAGGAAACCCTGCTGTTTCCAAACAAGGGAACTCTACTACTTTTCCAAATTATACAATTCAGTTCCTTATATACAATTATATAATTCAGTTCCTTAAAAACACAACTGTTCTGCCTCCAATGGAGTCATCATGTATGGAGGACAGGGCTAATACTTTTCTAATTTGGTTCTTAAATTAGTAAATTTTAAATGTTACTCTTCACGCATTTTAGAAAGCTGTGACTTTCTGGATAACTAATAAGAGCACTGCTCTCTCTGGAAGTTATCACCCCAACACACAGGTCCTATCCAAAGACTTGTTTAGCTCTTTAAAGTAGATCTCAGTAATGTAAGTTTGTAGAAGGAAGACAGAGATGAACTGAGGAAAAATCAAATCCTGCATTTTCAAAATTTCCTTCAAACCATTCTTTAACATTGGCATGCAGCTTTACTTACCAGTGATCTCTCTCTTTCCTTCCTATATGAAGACAATAACACCTCCAGCAAGTTCCTACATGGCAGCTGGAGTTGGGGGGGCATACTAGCATATAAGGATCTAACTGCTACTGTAAAACTAAGGGTGGGAAGGAAGCTATTGCAACAAACTTCACCTGTGTTTGCACAAAAGGCATCACCCTGAACTGCAGATTAGAAAATGACACTTCCAAAAGGGAAAGTAAGGGATGACCTGAGTCAAGTACCTTTTGCCATATTTCTCCAAGAGTAACATCTATTTACCATCATACCCTGAAAGCAAAAGCTGAATTTGTCCACCTCTCCACTAATACTTATCGCATTTGCCAATTTTTAGAATGCTTGTGGTCAAATCAACATGTCTAAGATGTGAAAACATAACATGCACACTTACCAAAGCTTGTTGTAGGCCTCTAGGCATTCTGGTTTTACATTGTGAACTGAAACAACAACATCAGATGAGAAATGCAGGAATGGAACAGAGAAATGGTAACGTTAAATGTAAGAATATCACTCACTCTGTAGTTTATACAGACTGCTGGTCTCTCTTTTGGCTAGAAGGTTGGAGTGAGCATCTTTCCTTGGATCGACTTTGCGAACAAATAGCGATTTTAACCAACTGTCTTCACGAGGTCTGCTAGCTGAAGATACCATCCCCCTACATATCAACAAGTACATTACACTGTCACTGAGCACGTCTTGAAAATGCCCATAATGCAGGGAAGATGGGCACAATCAAGTATAATACAAACAAAATTAAAACAGTTACATCCAGCTCTGTTCCTCAATCTTTCCACTGAGTCACTTGGCAGCAAGCTAAAGGCAGCTCTTTTCACACTGGGAGTTACCTCCTCACAAACCATTTCATGTGATACAGAGCTGAACACTTAAGCATGCACTCTCTACTCTCATTCTCTGTAAGCAAATGGGTAAGAAATGGGTAGGTAGCTGCTTTTGTTGTCTTTTTATATTCTTTTTAATGAAGCATATTTACCCAAGGTCTGTCTTGATGTATACAGACAGGAGTGAAAAAGAGCTAGAAGTGGCATAAGAAAAAATTTGTACAGCGTAAATAGGAAAGTAAGTGCCATATGTTCCTATGTTTGCTTAAATACAGCTCTGGAAAGGAAAAGTTAAATGACACACCTATTGTATTTAACTGAATCTTTATGCCCCCAATCTTGAACACTCTTTCTTCTTTCTCAAAAGAAGCACTTCCCTCAGTTCACCCCTTTTTGATGCAGTTTCTGCTGAAACACTGAACTATTTCTCTGAAATACTAAGAAAGTGGCAGCACAGCTGGAAATTTAAACCATTTTCTATCTCAGAAGTCAACTTTATACCCTGCACCACTGACTATGAGATCCAGATGACAGGTTTCCATCTTCAGATACAAATCTCTCTTCCAGTATCAAAACTTTCTGACAATTCCTCAAAGAAAAAAAAAAATAGGAGAAGAAAATATCAACTTCTTTTGGTGGAAAAAAATCTCAAAGAACACAATTGTCTGTATTGCACAAAAGCAATTCACACCAGCAGCACTCCTCAACAAATAACATTCGAAAACTAATGAACTGGGATATCCTGTGGGAGCAGAATGGATGAACTGAGAAGTATTTTATAGCAGAGAAATAATAAGTACCAAAACAACCACAGCCAAGACAATATTCAATGCTAAGAAATAATTGGTAAGTATTTTGTTTTTATTTATTGAAGACAGTGCTTTATTTGACCCTAGAAAATCATACAAGCACATTCCTGTGCATTCATTCCTGAGTACAAGCATTCAAAGGAGCATTCCATGATACAGCTGTTGGCAAAGAAGGGTGGTGCAGGAGAAGAGGTTTCACTCATCTCAACTGAGGGAGGAGGGAGGCACAGCACAGCTGTGTTTTACACCTGCACCAGGTGCCACAGGAAGGTACCACGCCTCGGCTGAGGCCATGCTGGAGAGCCCATCTAATAAAGGCTTGCCTTTTTACAGCTCCTGTACAGTAAGCACTCACTGGACACAGAACTGGGCTCCAGGAGGTAGGACTCCATTTCAGCCCTGCAGTGCTTGTTCTTTCATCTACAGGGAGATCAGCACACTGCTGACATATTCTCCTCTAATTTCTAAATGCAATCAGCAAACTAATATTCAGAGCATTCTTCTGCGAGGAATGAAATAAGTACTTCAGGTGTTTATGCAATCTCTTACTCAGAAATTGTGAAGTTCCTTATCAACAATGACTAACAAATCCCAACTAGCCATCTAAATGTTCACTTTACTTACAATAAAGAATGGTAACAGCTGAAGTTGATTAAAACAGACACTCTGTGTCCCATCTGAGATGCTACAGCCTTAATTTTCACCACCACATCCCCTGAGATACACAACTGGGGTCCATCTGGACACCCACAAACCACAATGCTCTGAGCTGAATGCCAGGGACTAAACGACAGACTTGTTGTAAGCATCAAAACTAATCCACCACCCAAAAGATTCACTTTTAAAATAACATTATGCTCCACAGCATGATAAAATCTGTTCCAAGTAAAACACTGGATCCAAATTACCTGAATACCGCTAATGAAATTAGAGGTAGATGCACAGAATGAATACGTTTGCACTATATATATATATATAGGGAATTACAATCGCACTTCACAACTTTTTATTTTCTGGGAATAATGCTCATTAAAGAGTTTTCATGCAACCTTTTAGGGCACTGTTTAACACTGCTAGCAAACGCTTATCCTACAAATGTTATCTAAAGGCTCAGATTTCTTGCTACAAAAATGGGCTGTGACCACAGGAGGAGAACAACGAACAGCGTGGCCGTGTTAAATTAACAGTGCTGTGAGGACATTCCCATCTGCCTTAACTTCTGCGTTAGCATAAACTGGGTAGAGTGGGAGGTATCAGGTCAAATATTTAGATTCTGTAGTAATCAATGTCTGCCTGGAAGAGAAAGAAAAACAGCTGGTCTGTAACGGACAGGTTTTCACTTGTGCTCTATACAGATGTCAAAGCTGATGTTAACCTCGAGAAGTTCAACCCGCTCACAACCAAAGCGTGCACCTGCTTCAGAGAGCTGCCGGCAGCGCCGATCCCGTTCCAACCGCGAGGCAGCACCGCGCTCCGCCTCAGCCCGCCGCGCTCACCGACGACGCCCGCCGCGCACCGCGGGGCGGCGCCACAGCCCGGCGGCTGGGGGCGCTGAGCGCGGGCGGCCGCGGCGCGGGACGGCAGCCGGACGGGGGATGCGCCGCCGCCCCGCCGGCCGCGATCCCGACTCGTAATGGGGTGGGTGCCCGCGATCCCCACCCCTGGGCGGACTCGGGGGCCGGCCTCGCCGCCCGTGACCTTGAGGGACGCCCCGGCGGCCGCACTCCCCGCCCCACGGAAGGCGGCGGGCCCGGCTCCGGCCCTTCAGCCGCGGCGCGAGAGGGGCGCCATTTCCAGGCGGGAGAGGGGAGCTGCGCTGTGTGCGTGTGGGGGGCGGGGGGATATCCGCGCGGACGGCGGCCGCTCCCTCTCCCGCCTCGCTCGCCCGCCCACCTCGCCGCCCTCAGAGCTCACCTGAGGGCCAGGCCGCCGCCGGGCGGGATACGCGGCACGGCGCCCGCTCCCGCCGGGCTCCACCGCAGCAGCACTCTCGCCGCCATCTTGCTCCGGCCGCCTCCCTCCTGGGCCGGCGCTGTAGCGCCGCCGCCGGCCGAGGGGGGCGCAAACGGCGCCGGGGCGCGGGGGGTCCTCCAGCCACGCCCCGGTGGCAGCCGCAGTGCGCATGCGCGGAAGCCCGGCCCTCACCGCCAGCCGTGGTTTGGGGGCGAGGCCGAAATCCCCCGAAACGGCGGGTCGGGCTGAACGGTTTGCCTGCCCGTGCTGGGGGTGGAGCTGCACGCTGTATATTCACCTGACTACGAGTCGGAGCACAGATTTCCTTCCACTTAGATGCGGGCTTTAGCCAGCCAGCTGTAATTACTGATTTATATATTAATGACTGATTTATATATCAACCATTTCTACAAACAGATCAACAACAGAACCTACAGCCCCAGATTAAAGATGCCTTCCCAAAGTCAGAGACTGTATTCTTATCAGCTTCTACCTCATGCTGGGAACTCACTGAGATCCCTCTCTCTCAGACCTAAACACTCCTTGGACAGGCTACAACAACAGCTATGCTAAGCTACCCAAAGATAACATTCTCATTTTACTGCCATAATAAAGGCAAGTGGTTGAATTTTGTCAGATCTTACAAGTGAACACAGCGGTGGCAGGAGCAACTTACAGAGGAAATGAGGACGCTTGCAGGCAGCTCACTTTAAAGTTTCTACACTTCTTTTCAAAAGGTTTAATAGCATTTTAAGCCTACAAATCACAAAAGATCGCCTGAAATACAGAACAATTAAAACAACCCTTCTTGTATTCTTTTCTCTTGGTACAGAAGAGTCATTCCCCAAGTGAGCAGCTGGCTTTGGAAAGTGTCAAGACTTTGGGCAGAACTACATGCAACAAAATGAAGCATTAACGTTTAACTCACATTTTCCATGTTTTCATATGAGGCACCAAGTTTTTCTTCTGGAACGTCTGTTCTTAGAAGCAACTATGCTTGCTACTTACTTTGACTACAAATTTCACCAAAACATTTTAACATACAATTTCAGGGACCCAAACATCCCTGACAGAGATGAGCTGGAAAGCCCCGTTTAATTATTTTCTCCACTATTTGTCTGTTGAACAAACTTTGAGTTCCTGGAGTTTTTCACTTAGATAAGTGGTATCTGCCTCTGTCAGGTTTTCTGAATCTGATAGATTTTCAAGAAACCTGGTTCCTGCACAGGGCTTTCCTGTGATCGGATCTATGACATTTCCAACCTTGAAAACAATTTCAGCCAGTTCGTGTTTCACGTGCTTGCTCCTCCGCTCAGGCAAAGCCTTAAGAAGAACGATGTCTCCAACAACACACTGCTGCAATGGATCGTGGGCAAAATAGGTTTTCCTCTTGTTAAAAAACTGCGGAAGGAAAAAAAAGGAAACTTTGGCATTAGGATTCCAAACAAAGCAAACTTTTACACCACCTATTTGTTCCATTTTTTTCCACATAAGTGGAGAAAATACTAACTGTTCCTGCTTGAAAAGCATTTACAAGTAAAAATGCTCTTATGGCACATCAACATATAGATTCAAACACTAAGCATGCTTCCAATTATGTCTGCAGAAGAATGCCTACAGAATATATTGGAAAACTGACTAATTAAACATAGTGCGAGCCCACAAATCTTCCCTTTCCAACTCAGAAGTGCATTGACAAAGCACTTCAAAGAAACATTTAGCAGACAACATGCATAGGAAGCATCCTGACAAAACACACTGCTTGTCATCCCTCTGTACTCATCCTCACAGCCAAATCACTGCACAAGTCCCTTAGGGAACTGGCAGCATGAAGAGTTATCAACAATTCTAGGGGTCAAGTTAATAAAACATTCTTCTGCACAGTACAAAAGTTATCTGGCAAGATAAGATAACCAGCTTTTACCTTTAGTAAGTAAGGATCTAGTACAAGTCTTGTCACTCTCACTTTGGCAGTTTTCTGCATTTTGGTTCCTATGACTTTCCCTACTATCCATTTTGCATGGACAGCTCCACGTGGTACAGACATTGTTTAGTTATGGTCATCCAGTGCCTGGCAACAAGCAAGCAGACATGTTATTTTAACACAAAAATAACCAATTTCTGATCAATAGGAAAATTATTATTTTAGTTCTAGACTAACAGCTTAATTAGATTTTGTGGGAAAAACAGGGCAGATACAAGCAGTTCAAAACACTCTATGGTATTCCCTCAGTCTTGTATTACATCATAAGAAGAGAAAAACATGCCCACAGTTACAGGGAGTTGCTTCTGGATGGGAGTAATGCTGGAAGTAACTTTTAGGATGAGACCTTATCCCATAGGGTCAAAAAATTCCTTTGAATAACTCTATTTCATACATGAGAGAAAGATGCATTCCCATTGAAATTAGTATGACTTTACTCCATACTCCAGCAGCTCACTTTGCTGGAATAGTCCAAGTGTATTCTGAGCAGTGCTAACCCAAACACAGGAGCCTATAAACGCAGCTGACAAAGACACTTACTTGTGTATATCACACGATTACCAGCCAAGCTCATGGAACCTACAGTAATGAACTTCTCAAAGCATGAGGCATCTTGCTGCGAGCGCTGCCTCACCTACAGCAAGCACAATTAACTGGTGAACTCATTTCTGCAAGCCACTTCACTTCCCGACCCTATTAGTTCTGCTTAAATAGGGCATGCTTTCTGTATCACCCTTCTGAGAGTCACAGGAAAAGCTGATGGTGAACATTAAGACGCTTGGGTCTACATTAAAATTGCTGAATGCTCATCTCCTTTTTCCATCTATGCACTGCTAAGCACTGCCAACGCCTGCAGAATCTTCCTTTTTAACACCACGCTCGCTCAGATAGTGCAACCCATTAAAAACAAAAGAATAGAGGAGCACATACACAGCACGAAACGCCTCACGCAGCACAGCACGGGGCTGCTTTTACCATCCTCCACTCGGCTGTACGGCCCAGGGGCCTGGAGAAGGGAAGCGTGAGGAGTCCTCCACCTGCAGAACAGGGCTAACTACCAGCACACGGCCATCGGGCGGGGAGAGGCAAGCAAGAAAACAAGCATCTCTCACACGCACAGCTGGGCTGCTAGGAGAACAGGGGGCAGCGCCGCAGGGAGAAGGAAGCGGACGCAGGGAGAAAGAAGCGGACGCAGGGACGGCCCCGCGGCCCCTCAGCCCTCCACAGGCCTGACCGCCAGGCCCAGCCTCCGGTTCCCCGCTCACCGCTCAGCTCCGAACACCCCACGATCCCACTACCGCCTCCCCAGCCCCGACCCACTCTCAGCCCACCACCCCCCGGCCCGTTCGCTACCGGAGCCGCCGCCGCGCCGCCTCACCGGCCTTAAGGGAGCGGAGCCGGAAGGGGCGGGGCCTCAGCCGGAAGAGCCGCGCGGCGGGGGGCGGGGCGTCCCGGGGAGGAGTGAAAGGCGCCGGCAGTCCTCCTGGGGGGGGGCGGAGGTACCGCTGTACGGGCGGTTTGTTCGCGTGCACCGTCGCTCTTTTGGAGGATAAATTTTTCTTATTGCCCCGTCCCTGGCGCAGTGTGAAGCCATCCTCTCCTGTCGTATTGCTGTTACCTGGGAGCAGAGGCAGATCCCACAACCTCCTTTTGGGGACTTGTGGAGTGATGATGTCTCTGAGCCCCCTCCTCTTCTCCAGGCTGAACCATCCCGGATCCCTCAGCACCTCCTCACGGCACCGTGCTCCAAACCCTGCACAGCCCCGTTGCCCTTCCCTGGACACGCTCCGTATCTCAAAGCTGGGGATTTTCCATGTCAATAAGTGAACCACCTGAACTGAGACCCGGATGGTTGTTACTGGTTATGTCGTTGTGTTAGAAATTCAGCTTAAATCTGTAAAATCAGTGGTTAATAAACACCCATTTTACAAACGAAACGCTGGAAAAAAAGCTTTGGTTGTGCCCATAGTTTGAGGCAATGTACTCCTGGCAGCTCCTCGCCTATACACTGGCTATCTTTCTATTTTTTCCCCGTTCTTTTAAGTCTTTATCACCTGCATTTGGGCTGCTGCCCACTTCCCAGGCTTTGTTGTGCCAACCTCTGTCACCACTGGCAGAGGGCAGTGAAGACGGCTGCTTTGTATGGCTGCAGGCTCTGAAATCGCTGGATCCAATGCTGTCCGAGGAGTCATCTGGGAGTTTATTCTAGTTCTTACAGTTCAGGCTCCTGGGCTGCTCCTGCTGGAGTGCCTTACTGCTTGAATTACAGCGGAGCAGGGAGGAGTTTTGCTGGCACAGGCAGGAAATGGTTAAGAGCCCTTCGTATCACCTGGGAAAGCGATTCTTTGATTTTTCAGAGGGCGCTAACATGCTGCACTCCGTGGGAAACAAAGGGAAGGAGATCAGCTATAAGAGTTGGTGCTGGATTTTATTTTCAGCGGCAGCGTGCGAGAGCTGGATATTGATGGCTGAGAAATAAAGGATTCCGGGTTAAATATTCTTTTCTTCACTCAGACAATGATCTGTGAAGCGGATCTGATTCCAACCGGTGCCTTGAGATAACTTCTTTCTGATTGAGAGGTAAGAACAAAACTCACAGCATTGACCCATTTTAAAACAGGGAATTCTTTGCTGAAGCTGTTCCACGGGCAGTGCAAGGAATGCAAGCAGGAGTAAACAGCCATAAGAAGCCCACAACACTTTCTCTTTTCCTTTATGGTGTGTGTGCTCCATTTGCTTGAGCTTAAGAACTGAGAGAACCCCAATGAACAGGGGAACACGCGTCCGAGAGCTGCAGTAAATGTTTCAGCAATGACAGGAGAGTTTATTTGTGTTAATGTACTTTGGCACTTGATGCATCTTATGTTGGTTTCTCTTAAAATGCTTCCTGAGCCTTCTTTCTTTATACTGCATTGCACTCACAAGGGTTTTTGTTTCTGCATATGGGCTTTGCTAGCAAAGGGTACAGCTGCTGCCCTGTTCACATGCTGGACCCAGAAGGACAGACTGCTTCTGGGATGAAACACTGGGATCCTACAGTTTCCATTAATTCTTAGCCTGTATGCAGAGGGACCAATGAAGCCTCCCCTTAAAAAGCAATACTGACTTCTTGTGTGTGCCCCAAAAGCATCTGTTTCCACTGACGTTTGACTTACTACAATGTGATACTTCAGGTGATCACTGAGAGCAAGTGCCATGTGAAGGGAAACATCCAATGGAGAGCCCTGCAAACTTTCCCTTTACTTTGTAAATTCAGAACTGAAAGGGAATAGTACTCTCACTCGTGGCAAGGTTTATTGCAGCATGCAGCAGCATGAGGTATTTCTCAGTGTCTATTTCAGTAATGCATGGAATTTGGGGATTTATTGAGCTTTTTGGGGAGTACTGATTTCATTTGCTTTGTTTCTGCTTTCAGTGAATACAGGCAGTACTGGCTGATGCAGGGGTTATTTCCCATTTTGATAAGCTGTGTAGTACAGTGGTGCAACCCTGCAGCCTGTGAGTGCCGTGATACAGATAAGCATCAGTCACTGCAAGAGTGGCTGTGCCAGTTATTCTGGCTATTGCTCACTGTTCCCAGTTTCCTTCCCCCATGCTTTACACAGGCACTGATTTCTTCCTGTGAAGAAAAGGGAAGACTGTAACCCAGTTAGAGTTGGTGGATGTCACCCCGGACATGAAGAAAGGCAGCACTGGGACTGTTTTCTTCCTCCAAATCAAATTCCTCATCACTGTGTTCCTGTTCCTCTCATCAAGCAAAGCTTTTTATCATAGGTAGCTTCCATAAGGCACAGGGAAAGCTGTGGACTTTCAGTTTTAGAGCCATCTGTTCCCAGATTCTGCCTGGACAGGAAACTTATTGCCTTTTGGGCAACCCTATTGCCCAATATTAACCCCTATTGGATTAATATTGTCTTTGGGAAGCTACACCATGCTCTGCTCAACCCCATTTTGTTGCTCTGGATCTCAGGGTTGGGTGCCCCTGGCAGCAGTTGAAACAAATCACTGCAGCTCAGTGACAGAAATCAAGTCTTGAAAGAAGTTATGCACAATTCACACTTATAAGCTGTGATAGTTGCAAATACCTGGAGATGGTTGCACTTAAACAAAAGACCACAAACCCAGATTGCCCTACTTGGCGTGATTTCTCTTATACAGATGTTATTCTAAAATTCTGACTGTTAAGTGTTTTTGCTTATGTTGGCAGTACCTGATGTTCACTTACACTATTTAGTGTGAAAATCTTTTCTATTTCTTCAGCAGGACCATCAATTAAAATGCAGCGTACATATCTTGGGAAAATTCGATATTCAAAAATGTCTTTTCACTGAGTCAGAATGTACTTTTCCATGGAATAAAAACTCTGGAAAGGAAAGAAAGAAAAAAAGAAAAGCTATTGGAAACACTGAACAAATTATATTGTCATTTCAACCAGGTTATATAAGAAAGAATGAGTTCAAAGTGAAGGGCTCTGTTTTTTTTTTTTTGTCATATTTTGAGAAAATAAGTGCATTCTTCTGAAGCAGTTCAATTCTATCTGTTCAGCATTTTCCATATGGAGCTCTTTGAGAATGTTCTGTACTGGCCTGAACTCCGAGTTCCTATTTCACTAAATTGGCCGTTTTACGTTACGTGCTAGAAATGAGTTATGAAGTTTTCTTCTCTTTTTGTCTCCAGCCGTTGGGGTTTCTTCTTGGGTGAACAGAAGAAGGGTTTGTGTCTAATATTCCATGCTGCTTTGCAGTTCTACTGCTTTAACTGCTATTCCAATGGTGAAAATACTTGCAGCAATCCTCTGGTTTTGAAGAAAACCGGACAAGAAAGAGCTTTGGAGTGGAACAGGTTAAAACATAGTTGTGCTATTAGCTCTGCTGCAGCTTGCAGATTAGAGATCAAGTGCTTGCTGGAGTAATTACTGATGGTTCGGATGCTTCCACATGATGCTCTCCCTGTCAATATTACTGCGGTCACATTACACCATACTCCTACAGTGATTTTGTGGTTTTAAAAATATTCCTTTCCCTTTAATTGAAAGCACCTTTGTGTGCCAAGCAGAAGGACCTGAGCTCTGCTTAGCAGCACACACTGAGATGTTGCCCGAATTATAGAGGAACTGCACTCAGAGTTGAGATCTGTTTTGCTCTCCTTGAAAGAAGCATTCCCCCAGGACAAGGGCTTACCCTGAGAATAAGAATTTGGTATTTTCCTGGATATCCTTCATAGGATAGGATGGGGGTTGGAGCTTCATGATCCTTGAGGTCCTTCCCAACCCAAGCCACTCTATGATAGGATCATAGAATCACCAAGGTTGGAAAAGACCTCCAAAATTAGCCAGTCCAGCCCTCCTCTGTATGCCAATCCTGAAGCACACTGTCTTGTTCTGATGCCTTTTGGTGTGAATCATCCTTTTCTAGCACTGTTGGCACCTTGCAGCAATTAATTAAGCCTATTATTCCTCATCCTAACCACTGTTCACAAAGAACACACACGATCCTACCTCGTGACATTTGTACTAGTTCAAATGTCTCTGTACTAACCAGTACTTTCCTTTTTACTACAGATTATTTTCTAGCCCTCAAATCTCTACTTTGGGATCTCTCCCCAGTGATCCCATTATCTTTCTTGCCCGAGACTGGACAGAAGATTTCAGCAGAAACCATAACAGCCCAATAGGAGGGAGAGGACTCCTGAATTGATCTCAGTGGTGTCAGCAAGATGAATTTTCTCCTGAGCTTTCCTTCTCCGCTCTGAGTTGTCCCAAGTTCTTACTCTCAACACTGGCAGATATCTGTTTGCTTTGGTACCCGAGTTATCTGTTCTGTCCCTGCAAGTCAAAAAGAAAAGCTTCTATATCCACTTTACCTCTTATTTAGCTATTTTTGGACAAAGGGCACATGCAAAGTAAGTGGAAAACGCTCAGTGTGTTTGCAAGCCAATTTATAGCTCAGCAAAAGAAAAGAAAGGGACGAGCTATTTTATAAAGTACTGGAGGGCACTAATGCAACTTCTCAGTTTAAACCTAAGCCTTTATTTTGGAATTGCTTAAGGAGAGATTGGAATTCTGCCATGCTAGAATAGCTTTACACTGTAGGAAACCAATAATGCCTCAGTCTCTTCCTGACCTGTATAATTCACAGGTACTAACTGGCTTGTGTGAGTCTGAGCTGTTAATTTTATAAAGCTTTTCTTTAAAAAAAAGAAATATGAAAATTTTACAGGCTGACTACTTGTGCTCAGCGACCACCTGAGGATTGCACAGTGCTGATTCCCACTAGCATTTAACCCCAACTCTCAGCGTTTGGTTTGCCTGCTATCCACAAACCCCTCATGGCAATGGAAATTGCATGTTTTTTTGGTTTTTTTTTTTAAAAATGGTATGTAGTCAATCGCATTTAGAATGTAAAATTTATGAAAGGATATTGTGTAGGCTGCTTCAAAATTGAATTAATTTCACTTCAGAAGAAAAACCACTGGAAAAAAAATTGTTCTAAATAGCTTTCATCGTTGTGCATTTATATGCCCCAGAGAAATGGGTAAATTCAGCTTAATTTCACTGCATTTATTTATTCCTGGTACTAGTATAATATCAGGGATTTAAGATCTCGTAATGTGATGGAATTCAGTAGGTTGGTTGCCCAGGGATTCATAAGTGATGGAAAAGCACTGAGTTGTATTTGATACAGTTTTTGCTGTGTGCTGTAGCTCTATTTACAAGCAAAGCTTCCACTGAAGCATTTCATATGAAGGCATAGCAGCACATACAGCAAAGACCTTTGCTGAGAAAGGTTTTTCTCACCCTCCTTTACCTATCTAGCCATGAAAATGTTACTGGAATTCCTAGCCTTTAACGTAGCAATGTTTGGTTTCAGGTGTGGCTGTCCCTATAACCTAAAAAAAAAAAAAATGTCTATCCGAGGACTGAAGAAGAAACAACCAAAGACTTTTAAAGTCAAGATTATAACGGTGGATGCTGAGATGGAGTTCAGCTGTGAGGTAAGACTCCTTATGAGAAACTCTTTTAATCTCATTTTCAGCTGGGAGGGATTGTTTGTCCCAACTGAAACTAAGATGATTCCATTCATTATGACTCTGTAGTCAGTTGGACAGCAGGAAGCACCACTGTAGAACAACATGGAAGAATCCGAAAGTAGCAAGTATTCAGTTGATGGATGAGCTGGGCTGCAACAGATTCATTAATAAGATTAATTCCTAATCATCCAACAAAAGTGAAAAATGTGCATTTAGAGAAGGGCAGTTAGGAAACTGATGCCTGTTGGATCTGGCAATTCTAATGAGTTGAATGCCTCGTGGGGCATTTAGCATTTAGTTTATTAGGTCACTCAGACAAAGCACATAAATCACAGGCAGTGTGTTTCTGTGAGTTATGGATGTAGATTACTTGCAGACAGAATTGTGAAAATAAAGAATTTGGAAATCTCAGTTCAGAGCTCAGAGTCCTTGTTAACAAATCCAGCTTGATATATTCCTTCCTTTGCTCTCTTTCCTTTCTCCCTGAGTACTCCTTTCTTTCTGGGTTGATTCCCTGCTTTCCATCCAAATAGTGCCCAAAAGTTTATTTTTTTGCCATTAAGTTCAGTGACCGATGATGCGATGAGACAAAATCATCTTTTAATATGTGGCCAGATACAAGAAACAGATGTGCAGACTCTTCAGTGAAAAGTGAGATACTGTGTGTGCGCTTTGGGACATCTGATCAAAGTTTGTTTTCTGTGTAGCTGGGATAGTAAGTCACTTTCATTCTGCATCTTCTCCATTAAGTTGCCTTTTTTTTTTTTTTTTTTAATACCAGATTAAAAAACAATCCTGGCTAAACTATGCATTAAGTCCTACCCCTAGAAGACAAGCTCCTGCTCATTTAAATCAGAGTAGCATAAAGGCTTGGCTCGTTGCCACTCAAATAGCTGAGGTGTCTGAAAGATAGATTTGCTCTGATTGTTTGGCATTTCTGCTCTGTGCCCCTTTGATTTCCCCTGACCTACTCTCCAGACTCTCTAATTTGTCTAAAATGTAGAGTAAGATTTTTACAAATATTAATAAAACTCTGCCATGTCCTCAGAGATCAGCAGTACAACCCTCACTCCCTCTGCTCATAAAGTGCCCAATGCTATGATTAAATGACTGCAGCTTTGAGCACTTGGGGGAAAGGAAGTAGGCATTACAGCTATTGCACCTCTGCTGTAGGCAGTTTTAGGTGTGTTTCATCAGAAAGCTAAAGGTGTGATAACAGTTCTTGGGAGAAAAAACAAATAATAACCCAGTTTGCCTGCCTAAAATACAGCAAGATCATTCAAGATAAATCTATTTTGCTTAAATTTTCTTTTTCTCTTCCAGATGAAGTGGAAGGGGAAGGATTTGTTTGACCTGGTGTGCCGAGCACTTGGCTTAAGGGAGACTTGGTTCTTTGGCTTGCAGTACACAATGAAGGGAATGTGTACCTGGTTAAAGATGGACAAAAAGGTATACAAAACAGGAATAGTAACCTAACCATCTTCTGCTCTTGAAGGACTTTTTTGTGTTGTTGGTTTTTTTTTTTAAGCTCAAGACCTAAAGGAACAGGTTAAGTGACAACCCATAATTCTGGATGATACATGGCTTTAGGACTGAATTTCATAGTGTTAATCAGTCTATTTGTACACAGTTTGGTCTGAAGTGTCACCCACCAATCACCACCACGCACCCTTACTATTAATGCATTACTTCATTGCCTGCCCTTCTGAACTATGAACAGGTTGCATTAAACACATTATGGAGCAAAATCAGTAACCAGATAATGTTATTCTGAAATGTTTCTGTATTATTTTTGCTGCTGATCTTTGATTTTGTCTTTAAACAGGTTTTAGATCAAGAAATCCCTAAAGAAGACCCCATTAGCTTTCATTTTTTGGCTAAATTCTACCCAGAGAAGGTAGAAGAGGAGCTGTTACAGGAAATAACCCAGCATTTGTTCTTTCTTCAGGTCAGGAATGTTTTTAAACCTTGAAATCCTTCTATGTTCATGCTAGTCCCTTTGTATTATCTTTGATTTTGTTGGCTGCTCTTGATCTCAGAATGACTCTGCTGGTTTCAGTCATATCATTGTCTCTATAAATATCTCATTTTTATGAAATACAAACATCTCTCCTAAACACTATGGTTTTACATTCTGTAAGCTGAGTGTTTGACTTCTGCAAGGGCTTTGTTCTCATAATGGCTTCTTACTGTTTGTGCTAGAGAATGGGAGTTAAATTACTGGGACCTGCAGTTTTGTGTAAACAGCTTTTTACACTGCAGTGCTATAAAGAGATGGAAAGTACCACAATAATAGTGGGGTAGCAAAGTCTTTGGCTACTGCAAATGAGAACAAACCCAAATACAGCAACCCCAGATACAGAAATGAAGGAAAAGAGCTGCTTACCTTTAGAAAACCTCAGGTAGGCAGGAATCTCCACCAAGATCACCTGACTACCACTGCCAACCTTAAATGAGATCTGGAAAGGGGTGGATCCTGGCTCCATGCCTTCCAGTCACTCAGGTACATTGCTTGCACCTGAGCTCCCCTGGGTTGGCCCTGCCTTCCCACCAGGTGCTCAATCACTGCTTCAGGCTGTGACTTAGCAACTTTGGTGCCAATTCCACATCTGGATACTTCAGATTTGTTTAACTTCTAGTAGTCTTCATTCAAAACAGGAAAAAGTCCATTCTAGGCTGGCACTGCCTGGAAGACTTTGTTTTTGAAGCTAATGGAGAGAAGGCTGCAAAACCAAACATTTTGGAGATGTTTATTTTGTACACTCATAAGGTTTCAGATGGGATAAATAAAAGCAGATCAGTTATATAAATTAATGACCACAAAGCAGATTTTTACCCGATTTCCTACGCTTGCAGAGTACTGCCTCCAGTTGTCAGTCTGGGACTGAATTTCTCCAGGTTTCCCAAAGAGCTGTGGGTTCCCCATCCTTGGAGGTGCACAAGGCCCGGGTGGATGGGACCCTGAGCATCCTGATCTGATGGGGGGCAACCAGCCCATGACTAGGGTTGGGTCTAGATGGGCTTTAAAATCCCTTCCAAATCAAGCCATTCTGTGTTAAAGTATCTCCCCTAACTGGTCAGTGGTGATTTAGTATCAAGTGAAACCCTCCTTTTTATTGGCTTTAAAAGTTGCCTCGAGGCCTGCATCAACTGGACTCCTCTGGCTGCAGTGAATGTTGAATGAAGAAAGTCTCGAAAGCTTGTCATCGTCCTCTTAGATCTGCTTAGGTCTTAAGTAACCATTCCCTAACCTAGTTCTTTCACAACAAGAAGGTCTAGAAAAGACCTGCTATTAACTGTATGAACCTATGAAGTGCCTACGCAAGCAATTATGGTGGCAGTTGTGAAGGTGAGGAAGAGGAAAGGAATGGTGATAAGCAGTATGGGACATTAAGTTTTTTTTACCCATATCAACTGCAGATGGAACAAGACTCAGGACTGCAATCTATCCCTGAAACTAAAACTCCAAATCTTGTAAAAACAGCCCAAGTTGTTACTGAGGAGTCTTGTTGTGTAAGACTAGAGGAGGCATAATCACTAGAAAACAAGAACCTCCTAACCTGTCCCTTGTTAACACCATGGTAGGTTTTGCAAAATTAAAAATTTCCATGAAACAGAGGCTATCAGAAATAATAACAGTAACCCCATGCATGCACTGATGCTCAGAGCTTTGCAGAGGCAGCTTTCCTGTTTGCCACTGGCATTCCTTTTATCCCAGAAATTCAGTGTTCTATGACCTCTGTAAAAAGTAGTTATCTATATAAATAAAGTAAATACACAATTAAAAAAAAATAAACAAATGTGCATCAGCCTAGAAGAGGGAAGCCATGCTGTGGCTAAAGAGCAGTAACCTCAGTTACCTGCAGCTGTATCAGTAGGTATACAGGCATTGAGTTTTGGATGGTCACTTGCTTTTTGCCCCAACATCTGTGCCTTCCAGCTTCTCTTCTGAATTTCTGAATTTTCTGGCTCTTGCAGTCTTCTTCTGTGTTGCTTTGTTCTGGTATCTGCCAGCACTATGTGCCTGTGCAAGTAGATTGGACTATGGAATACAGTCAGCCTGCATCTGTAAATAAACAGTGTGTGTACACTGGTTCCCTGAGGAGGATGTGCTAGCAAAGTAATGGGGAAATGCTGTTAATCCAGGGGTTAATATACTAATTAAAACTTCATCTAGAACCCTTAACCACTTGGGGATTTGTTTTTTAAGCCAAGTTTGGAAAGGAATGAGAGCGGCAGAACACTTTTCCTAGCCTTTTAATCCTGATTTCACTTTTCTCTCCTTGAACCTGTCTCGACTAGCAGATGTACAATTAGCAAATTCTTCTCATTCCAAAGTAGAAAAACAAGACAGGAACAAATTGAAACTTGCAAAGTTTCCTGACTGTAAGAACTTCAGATCACACCTGGATGCTAACAGGAGAACGTGTACTGACATCTGGATGCCTACAGATTGCACTCCTCCTGTTTCAGATTTTGCATATTAATATAACATAATGTCTTTTTGTCAAATCTGTGAATATTGTAAATCTCTAAATCTAAGTTTTCTTTAACAATTGGATAATTTGCTCCTTTTACAAGGATGTTGTATTTATAGAAGTGATTAAAACCAACAACAAAACGACCCAAAACCAAACCAAAAGACCTCCCAACAGTTGCAGGGGATTTGTCTCAAGTCGTTCTCAGTTCTGAAACGTATTATTTGCACCATGGAATATGAATGCTGGAGCTTTCCAATTTGGAAGAGAAGTGTTTTCATTCTTTCCATTTTAACAGCTTTGAAAGAATTTTCTCTCTGTTATAACTCAGGTTCGTATATTGTGCTTAGCAGAGACTGAATATAAAGAAAAACTTTCTTGATGGTTCATTTCAGTTCACGGTACCTCCAGTTCCTAAATGTGCCTGTAAAGGCAGCTCAGTACTATCTCAAGTAATTTTTCTTCTTTGGAAATGTAGAAGACTGCGCATTATGCAAAATTTTCTTATCTTTGTGCTTGTTAATGGGCCAAGGATGTTATATCTGAGAGGCGGATTTGGGAAGATTAATTTCTTCTTCCTCCTTTGGTTTCCAGGTAGAATTACCCGATGGATTTAAAATCAAGCAACCTTGCATGAACTGTTACCTCTGATTATGCTAGCACCATAGATTACTTACACAAAAAGAAAGCTAACAGACTCTCTACCACTTATACTGTGCTTTCATTTTTAAGCCCTGTGTTTATGTTGTGCATAGACCGCTGTAATTGAATAAATCTAACACTGCTGTGAGGCAGTTTTCCCTTTGTGGGGTGTCCTTTATTCCATCCTTCTGGGAAGCTTGGAAAGATCCTCTTAATGCTTTTCAGTATAATGCATCCGTTGCCATTCAGAATGCAGCTGGACACAGCCTTTAGCAGTCCCATTTGGTTGGACCTGCCTGGGTGACCTCCAGAGGTCCCTTCTGACCTAAAACTTGGGTATTTTTTGTGTTGCAAAGCTGCTTTTTATGTGTTTTCTAGCAAAGCTACTTTTTTGTGCTTGTGGTTATGTAGCCCTTTGATGCTATTTTAGATGGCAAGTCAAATCACTGCTTGGTATAGCACATTTAGTAGGATGGTTTTTAATGTCTGAGTAGCTTCCGTATCATTGCTCAGTGCTGAAGGTAAAATCGTTACAGCTTCATTCTGGGTAATGAGTTGGTAATAAAAGGGAGCATGAGAAAGGTCCTCAATTCTACTTGTATGGAGAAACTAAAACAAAAAGCTTAATGAGATGAGACCTAAAAAATCCTCCACCAATTTATGAGAAAGGCTTTTTCCTCTCACTCTAAATTGAGCGATGTGATTGAAAATATAACAGTTCACAGAATCATGGAATATCCTGAGTTGGAATGGCCTCCCTGCATTAACATGGGAGACAGCCCACTGGCATTGCTGTGAACTTGGAATTAAGACTCTTCAACTTCCTAAAGGTCTTAAATATGAATATATATATATATATATAATGTAATGCTAAGGTTTCCTATGTTTCTGAATGTCACTTTATTGTTGCTGGTATCTTGTAATGGTGATAGCTGGTGCCAAGTTACAGTCTGGGCATGTCTAACTTCATTTCAGCCTGACGTAAGCCCTGACTTTGAGCTGCTTCTTTAACTTGCTCCTATTTTTTCCCCGATTTAGGTTAAGAAGCAGATACTGGATGAGGAAATCTATTGTTCTCCAGAGGCAACAGTTTTACTGGCTTCTTATGCTGTTCAAGCCAAGGTTTGTGCATAGCAGTGCTCATATTTTAGCCAAACACATATAGTGTGATGTATAAAATACTCAAGTGTTAAACTTTGCTGTTAAATTGGGACCTGCTGGGAGGCACAACTGCTTCTGGGAAAAAAAAGCATTAGATGCCATTAGATTACCATTACAAGGATTTGGAGAAGGAATTAGTTTGCTGTTTTATGCTATGCTTTCATAGTTTTCTGGGATTTCTTTGGATCTAGCACTTTAATGTAATTTTTCTCCCAGTTGGAGTTTTCCCCTGTTATAAAAAGGTCCATGGATTGAGAGGTGCTGCTATCACGAGCAGTGGCAGGGCAGTATTCTTTAGCATCTTTCAGAGCATGGTTACCTTTGTGCCACCAAAAGCCCATGGTTCAGATGAGGGGAGCCTGTTTTCTTGTCCTCACACTGTATGGGACAACCAAAACAAATTCTGTGTCATCAAACTGCAGCCATTCAGCATTCTGCACCTCACAAGCTGAAGTGTCTTTTTTCTTTTCCCTTGGGACAGTATGGTGACTACGACCCAAACTTTCACGAGCCAGGCTTTCTTGCCCATGATGAACTTTTACCCAAAAGGGTAAGTCTGTATTATGTATAGAACCAAAATCTGCATCTCCCCTTTGCTGCAGAGCAGGTGCAGCTTTGGGTCTAACTAGAGCAGTAGGAACTGATTGTTTGCCTTGAATGTGGCGAAGTGGCTGAGCTGTGAACTCATTGCTGCATTCACAATGCCTGCGAGAGGCAGCACACGTATTTTTGTCTTCAAAAGGAAATCTGCCTCCTTCCTTCCTCCGTAGGTCCTCAGGCAATATCAGCTGACAGCAGAGATGTGGGAAGAAAAGATTACTGCTTGGTATGCTGAGCATAGGGGTATCGCCAGGTATGAAATAATTTCATTTTTTTGGAAACCCTGGATTGATCAGTAACCACTTCTTTGCGGCCTTCAGTGACATTTGGTTTTTGTAACTGAGCAAAGAGATACTGGGTTGCAGGCTATGCTGCTAGGAGCTTTGCTTCTTAAGAAAGGGAAAAAACCTCCATTCCCCAAGGGTAAAAGTATCATTGCACGTAGGGCAACCATGTGCTTGTAAACTGGATTAGCTTTGAAGCTGAGAGCTTTCGCAGAGCTTCACAACCTAAGAGTCTAAAAGCTGATGTATTTTATACCTTGTAAAATAAATAATAACAATAATAAAAATAATGATTCAAAAAGGTGTCAGCGTGCTTAGGAGGGTACCACAGCACTGCAGGCATCGAGCCATAGTTCCAGGAGTGAATTTTGGTGCTACTCCATGTGGATGTTCAGCTGCTTCTAACACATTTAGAATACCTGGAAATTCAATTAAACACGAGGTGGGAGCTGCTGACACCAGAGCCAGCCTGTCCTATTATTTCAGTTCAGTTTTTTGTTGGCTCTTCTAGATTAGCACTGTCTTTCCTGAATATTTTCCTCAAGACTTGATGCCTCAGTTTGGAGAGAGAACAACAGTGAGTGGAGAGGTTTGGCTCCTTTGGACTCTGCCCAAAGCACAGTTTAGAATTTCTCAACCAGCTTTGCTTCCCGAAGTGAATATAAGGAAAACAGTGGTAGAGGAGGACTCTAAGAAGTGATGATGCTGGAGTGGCAAAGCTAACCCACAAGGATAAGACTGGACTTGAATTTGAGTAAAGATCCCACTATATATGACTCAGATCAAAACAGATTCAGCTTTGTCTTCTGTAGAGATGGTGTTTTTATTATCCCTTTTCTGTTGAGAGTAAGACAGTGAAATTAAAGAAAGTACAAAGGACTGGAATGGCTGTTCTTTTTGAAATGGGAAATATACTGTCAGTTAGGACAGAAAGATTGGACACAAGTATAATCATCGCCTTATTCTCTAGGGATGAAGCTGAGATGAACTACCTGAAAATTGCCCAAGACTTGGAAATGTATGGTGTCAATTATTTTCCCATTGCTGTAAGTGCTGTATTTGAGCAGTTTGCAATTGCTGGAGGTGATGGTAGTGCTGTTCTAAAATCCTTCAGGGAGTCTGGAGCTGGGATTCCTGACTTCTGTTCTCTGCTGTAGGGAGGCTGTGTAGTGATTGTCCTCATTTGGTTTGCTTGCCTGCTGATGGGGCAGGTGGATACAACAGCAAAGGTTCTGCTCTGTGATTGCACTGAGTTCTTGAATAGCTCTGGGTATGTAATGGGAAGAAGGAGAAATAAACGAGAAGTTTGAGCTGCTTTATTCAATTGGATTTGTTGGCTAAAAGTGGCAGCATTCATCATCTGTATTGTAGAAACAGTCGTTTTCTAAAAATAAAAATAAATATGGGTGAATTAGAAAAGCGTGGTTCTTGTCTATGGTTGTTAATGTCACCAGAAGGAGTGCTTATTAATATCTGTTGTTTTTCAGCAAAATAAAAACCATACTGATCTCCTGCTCGGCGTTGATGCCAAAGGTATTCATATCTACAGCATTAATAACAGGTTCTCTCCAAATAAATCGTTTGAGTGGAGTGCTATCAGAAACATTTCCTATAGTGAGAAGGAGGTAGGCTGGATCTGATATATTATTCTTTTAATATGGGTGAGGGTGTGGACTGGGATTCTTGGAACAGGCTGAAAGCAGTCACTGTTTAAATAATTTGGGGGAGGGGGAAAATCCTAGGGAGCTTTGTTACGAAAACTAACAGACTTGTCCTTCTGATGTGCTGCGTAATCTCAGTTCCCCTAAGAACCCAGGGCTGCTCTCAGCTCCCCAGAGAGAGCCCACTTTTCTGGTTCCTTCCCTGCTGCTTGTCCTTTGCAAAACAAGTTGGTCTCCATAAAAGATAGATATTATGAACGTCACCGTGGCTGGCTTCAGTTATCTCAGCGGGGATTAGATGATCCATAAAGACTGAATGCCATTTTTGCATGCTGAAGTTATCCCTGTAAATGAGGTCTGAAGCACACTGGCAAGCGGAGGCATGCAGGGAGATGTACATGTTTCTCTGCCTGAATTTTTTCCAGTTTATCAGTGCATGGTTTCAGCCTTCAGCACCGTCCTTCCATTACAATTCCACTGAGATTTCAGAGCCCATCTTCTATTTGTAGAAAGCACGGTGGGAAATGGGTGAAATCTGGAGTTCTTTCAAACCGTGTGGCTACATGGAAGGCTGTAACCAGAAAAACAAAACCCAAAAATCACATCAGCACCAGCATTCCTGGAATTTGCCAGCCAAAGGACAGCACGGTCTTTCCCTTTCTTTCTTTGGGCCTCCTGAAAAACAAAACAACTCAAAAGACAGGATGAGATCTGCTATCTGGACGTGCATACAGCAGGCAGGGCAGCCTACAGGAGAGTTCTATCTCTGAAGAATTTCATTTCCTTTTCTTTAAATTTCCCCTCTGGTCTGTGAATAACTCCCTATTGTTGGGGAATTGGGCAGCCCTCTATTAAAGCTCTGCTTTATTTGTTACCCAGTTCACAGCCCTGCTCCTCGCAAGGCTCCATCAGTTGTTACCTGCAGGCTGCAACGAGCTGTAGTACGTTAAGATCTTGGTGACTCAGAGGGTTTGAAATTATACGCTGCATTGCAAATGAATTACAGGAATAGAGTGCTAACTCATGAGTCACAGAGAGAAGGATCTTAAAGAATGGGGCTGGTTTTTATTATGCAGCCAAACCCAGCGCAGCATGTAAAGTAAAACAGTGCACACTGACCTGGCGGCATGAAAAACCTTTTATCTCTTCTGGAAACAGCTTGGGAGATAGGAGTGAAAATGTGAGAAAGCAGGAGCTCTAGTACTGTTATGGTCAGAAGAACAAATCCTTCAGGCCTTTGTGATATGGTTTGTTTGCACCTGAACTGGTTGGGATTCAGATTGGGGTTTGACATCTCCCTTATTTTATACCCAGAAGTCAGATTCCTAGCAATGCATTCTGTTTTTCCTGATAGCCAGTGTGTGTTCCAGTGTTCTCAGTACAGTTTGCAAGGCACAGGTGGTACTGATATGAGAAATACCATCCAAACTGTCATTAGATGTGGCTCTGTAGGAGGCTTTATCTTCCAAAACGGCCTGTATAAAGGGAGCAGCCCTGGTTCTGATTCTTGTGAGCAAAGCACTTGGAATCACTCTCCCTGTGTTTGTGGCATAAATCGCTGCTTCCCTGGAGAGAAATGGAGATGGGCAAAAGTTTGCATTAGTATTAATAGATTCAGCTTTGTTTTTCCTACTTTTCACTGCTTCCCTTCATTTTTTTTCCCTTCTATCTGAACAGTTAACCATTAAACCTCTTGACAAAAAAGCAGAAGTCTTCAAGTTCTTTTCCTCTCAGCTCAAGGTAAACAAATTGGTGAGTGTCCTGTTTTCCTCCTCTAAAACTGGGCTGGCAATACTGAGCTCGTAAACCTGTGCAGAGGCCAGGGAGCATTGAATTTCAGCACATGTTTTCCATAGGATTCTTCTGTCTGGGAAGGCAGGGTGTGTATGGTTGTCCTCTCTCTGTGTTGGCAGAGGAGATGTTGGGTGAAAAGTGAGATATGAAGGAAGGCCCAAATTGCAAAGGGCAATGCAGGTACAGGAAAGGGGGGGTGTAGTACATGTGACACTGAGGGATGTTGGTGGGCATGGTGGGGATGGGTTGATGGTTGGATTTGGTGATCTTAGAGGTCTTTTCCAACCTTTATGATTCCATGAAAGGGGCAAAACCGCTGCAGCATTGGCCTATCTGACTCCTGGTGGGTACTTAATTGACTTCTGTGTCTCTATTTCTGAGAGAAGCAGCAAGGAGAGGGTCCTAATCAGCTGGTTCATTCTGTCATCCCTGGCTGCTTCCTAGCACAGCCAGAGTGACTGGACCATTTCTCATTGAGCTTGTGGAGGGGCCATCACAGGTCACCATTCCCACACAGCTATCTCTTGGCCTTGACCCAAACCAGACAGGGAGGAGGGATGGAAAGAGAGCCCCTCATGTTGTTATGAGCTTTTCTAAACTATTACAAATCTGGGTATCAGCCTGCCCTGGATGTCACTGTCCTTGGAAGGGAAGCAACTGCCAGCACTTGTGCTGGAATGAGAAATGTCAGATTCTGTCCTGTCAGGCTGCTGTGGGGCTCTTTTATCCCCTGGATGGGGTGAAATTATGTCACAGTCACATTTTCTTTTCTTTTTGATTCAGATTCTGCAGTTGTGCATTGGAAACCACGACCTATTTATGAGGAGAAGAAAAGTGGATTCAATAGAAATTCAGCAAATGAAAGCACAAGCCAGGGAAGAAAAGGCCAGAAAAAAGGTACATTTTCTGCTCCTCTGTTATTGAAAAAGCTGATTATTATTCCAGCTGGTGCCCTTGCTGTCCATACGTTGCATTGATATGTGTGTAGGAGGTGAAAAAACACAGAAGAATTAAGTGTGGGAACAGCTCTGTATGTGTATGCAGCATCTGAAGATGTAAGTGATATTTCTCAAACCAAATAGGTGATCAGAAAGATTTGGGGTACACAGCAGCTCGATCCAAGCATTCTCTCCCAGCAGTCTGAAATAACTGGTGTTACCAGTCAGTGGAGTTCATTTCTGCTGAAAGCGTAAGTAGCTTCAGCACTGCATCTCTGCTGAATGTCAGCTCACCAGCTTGAGAGCAGTCCGTCCTCCGTTAGATTAGTTTCTTATGCTGCCTCAGGCCCAGATGCGACTCTGCTGCAAACCCACAAATGTGGTATTTCTCTTTCCAGATGGAGAATCAAAGGCTGGCCAGAGAGAAGCAGCTCCGAGAAGAAGCTGAGCGAGCCAAAGAAGAGCTGGAAAGACGACTTTTCCAGCTGGAAGACGAAGCCAGGCAGGCCAATGAGGCCCTGGTGAGTAGCACGCCAGCTGAATATTCCTGTGCTTGAAGAGCTTTCTTGGTTTGGGAGCTCTTTTCTTTTCTAGAAGGCTTACACAAAGCTGGAGAGTTTCTGAAGGAAGTAACGTTGTGGGCTGAAACTGGGAGAAGAGGGCTTGGTGTGTGCTGCATTTGGCATTGACAGCTAGAGGGATCAACTTCTGTCAGTTTTTGGTTGATGTCTCTGTCCATCTCAGAACAGTCTCCTTGCTGTGTAGAGATGAGAGGCAGGACAGAAGATAAGAGATTCTAGAGCAGTGGAGTAATACCAAACCCTTCAACTGTTTTTACTTTAAGGATTAACATTTTTATCCCTTGACCTGTTGACAGAAACATCTTCTTCCTGATTGACTTCAAGGATGAAATTGAAAATGCTAGGCAAGGTAACCACAACAAATTGTTTCCTCTTAGCTTCGATCCCAGGAAGCTGCAGAGCTGCTGGCTGAGAAAGCTCAGATTGCAGAAGAAGAGGCGAAATTGCTGGCCCAGAATGCTGCAGAAGCAGAGCAAGAGCGACAGAGGTTGGAGATAACAGCTCTGAAAACCAAGGAGGAGAAACGCCTGATGGAGCAAAAGATGCGGGAGGCAGAATTGATAGCTGTGAAGCTGGTGAAGGAGTCTGACCGGAGGTTGGATTTGCTTGAGCTGGGATTGTGTGGCCCCTCCTGAGTTGCCTAAATGGAGAGAGTGCTATTTTAGTCAAATCAGGAGTGTGGGGGTGAGAGCGCAGCAGGGAGGGACTTTTCCCAAGGTCTGTTGTGTTCTGTCTCTATACTGAAAATCACCAACGATTCATGTCAGAATACTTGTTTTGCAGAGCCAAGGAAGCGGAGCATCTGAAACAAGATCTACATGAAGCCAGAGAGGCTGAACGGAAAGCAAAGCAAAAACTCTTTGACATAACCAGGCTCAATTATCCTGTAAGTTTCTGCTCTGGGTACCACTTCATCTTGGGAGATAATCAGATATTGATTGCATGTTTGTAGCCTCGTCAAAGTAGGTTGTGTCACGTTCCATCTAGCTGTGGGACAAACACCTACAGGACCAGCTGCTGATTGAACACAGCGTAGCTGCAATTGAAATTATATTTTTTCAGTGCATTGAGTCCGGAAGTTAAAGATGAGACAAATATTAAAAAGCAAAACCACCACCAACAAAAACTGAACCAAACAAAACCAAAACCAGTTATTAACAACCAGGTGTTGTTTGTAACTGGGGAGCAGAGAATGCCTGCATTCGTCCCTGATGCTGACTCTGTGCCATCTCAGTCAGGCAGTGTGTTGTGAAGGTGGTTGTACTGAACCAGCTGTGTTGTCCAGACATGTGAATTGCACGTGAGTGTCTTCAGGCAAAGCAAGAAGGTAATGCTAGGGCTGTGTGCCCCCAGTTGCTCTTCTGCTTCACTCTTGCTGAGAATGAATTCCCATTCTTAGCTAGAAATAAGGAACACTGCAGTCCAGATATTTCTCTGCATTTGGATCTGGCTTGTGGACTGTGGCAGTTCATCTGGAGCCACTCAGGTAGATGGAAAGGGCTTCAGGGACGTTTGTTTCTCATAATGTATGGTACCTCATGGAATGGCTCAGCATGGCACTCTTGAAGAAGCTGGTGAGAAATCCACAGTCAGTCAGATCTTACCAACAGTGCTTATTTTGGCTCTTTCAGCACATGGTCAAGTACCCACACTACTTGCCAACTGACACCAGAGATGCCAACTTTGACAAAGGGTCCATCAAGCTGGATTTGAAGGACATTGACCTCAAGAGACTGTCCTTCGAGATAGAGCGAGAGAGGTATCAGTATGCTTGTGGTGTAAATAAAGAAGAATATATTAACTGTGGAAAGTACAGAAAAGAAAAATTGTTTGGGAATCAACAGGTCATATCCTTAACACCTCAGTCTTCTTGTAGGTATGACTGGAGGTCTTTTACTGAACTGGTGCAGGTTGTGTCTCTGTAAGACTTGCTGTTTTACACACAGAAAAAGTTTCAAGGTGGCATCAAATCATGACAGGTCCAGAACCCTCTTGTCTTAAAGACTATTATGTCAAGCACGAAGTAGTTTGTTTGAATAATAGCAAATTAGAGGACAGAAGTTTCCCTCTAGTGTTAGAGTGTGGTATTGGTTTGGTTCATAGGCTTTTCCTCTTGGTCTTGAGGGAAATTCTTGGTTAGAAAGTGAATACTGAGGGGTTGAAGTGAACTTCCTTCTCTCTGGAGCAGAGAAGTGAGGCTGACATGTAACAGACTTAATTTTGCCTCTCTTTCTCTCTCTCTTTCTCTCTCTCTCTCTATATATAAAGGCAAAATTATGCAAAGATTTCCTCTCCTTCTTATCTCGTTATTGAGCTTTGTTGTGCTAGTAAGCTTTTTGTCTCTGATGTGTGGACTACAGGCTAGATTACTTAGAAAAGAGCAAAAAATTTGAAGATCGACTGAAAGAACTGAAGTCTGAAATTCATGCTTTGAAACTAGAAGAAAAACAGTCTGGGCTTTACTCTCACTGGAATGAAGTATTGGGATCCTTGGATCGCTCCTTAGGAAATGTATGTAACCTCAATTCCAGCCACTTCTTTAAGCATAGTGTGGTCTCTCGTGGTTTGCATCCCATTCTCATTCATGTGCTTTGTGGTTGTTATTAATCTGTTGTAAAAGTCTTGGCTTTCTTTTTAATTCAGGCAACAAAGAACTAAACTCAGATTTTGGTCAGAAGTTTCTTGTTATATACACAAACACTCTTCCTGAACCAGGGCAAGGATAAGGGCTGTCTTTGCTTTCCATATATAATAAAAATGACCCTGAGTAAATTGTTTCAGAGAGAAGGGAGGATGGAAAAACTGAGGGAGGATGACCTGTATTCTCTGGCAATGCATTTTATGTTCTTTTTGGCTTAATAAATGTTGATGTAGAGAGGGCATTAAATTTCCACGTGCTCTTTTCTTTTAAAGATCCCATCGTGGATGAAAACCTTTGAAACTGGCGATTCATCAGATATAAATCTTCATAGGCCTTTCCCTGCTTACTCGTTAAATCCTACAAGCAGTTGGCCTTGTACCAACAAAATCCAACACACGGTGCCAGTGCAGAAGTCATCTTTTCAAACCAATTCCTTGATTGCCAACAGTGTGGGCACAGGAACCAGAAAACAGATTGTAAAGGTAAGCAGAAAGTAAATTCCCAAGTAATGATCAGAGGTTTAGAGTTCAGAGTAGAAAAGTGTGGTTGGCTTTATAAAATCATAGAATCGTAGAATTGCTCAGGCTGGAAAACACCTTCAAGATCATCAGGTCTAACCACAAACAGTTCCACAGATGGGACTGTTTTATCCAACTCTCTCCACCTCTCAAACAACAGGTCACAAAGCATGGCTGTTCCACAAGTGTGGAGGTCCTTCATTGAAGCACCACTCTATAACTTCAAGGCCACCTGTTTTTTCTCCCTTATGATCAAAGCTGGAATATAAAACTTTAAGTTTTGGTAAATGAAAGTGATGCCCATGTGCAGTAGAATTTGTTAAATTTTATTTGTATCAGCCAGGCTTGGAAACGAGGAGAACTTAGAACAAGAATCTGTAGAAATAATGAATTTGGTCTTACAGAATAAAGTCAACCCATTTTTCTTCTTGACTGGAGTGAAGAATAGATGCAGTGTGTGTTCAAGAAGAGCTGTAGGAATGTACAGTCCTGTGCAACTGGAAAGAAGTCAGCTTCCTCCTGGCAACGCTAATTGTGTGAAGTACTGGGAGTACTGACATTTTTTAGTAAACAAAACTGGGGGTTTTCAGGATCAATTAGAGGTTGTAGCATATAACCTTCAAGATCTTAACCTTTGGGGTTGTGTGCTTAAAACTAGAAGGAAAACAGTTCAGTGTAGCAACAACTGAGAAAGCTGTTCTTTCTATTGCAAGTAACAAATAAATGTTTTAAGACTAACCTGACCCCTCGCAGGGCTAAGGCAAATAGATCTGTTTCAAGAGGAAAGATAAAGCCATCACAGGGCATCTTGTAAAAGACTCTGGTCAGATGAAAAGGAGAAATTGGACCAAGGCAAAGTAGGTTTTGTTTCAGTAGGAGTTCAGAGCGGAACTAATTTTTCCCATTTGCTTGCATGTAGGTTCAGCAGCATGACTCAGATGTGATCTACATTTGAAGAGCCTCGTCTCCTTACCAGACTGGTGAAACCTGATGGCATCTGTTTGGCTGCCACAAAATGCACCCACATAAGAACCCTGGTGCAGCTCTGTCTCCTGACAGCCATCAGCACAGAGATGTGGTTCTATAGGTAGCAGTGCCATTTGGCTTCCAAGCAGGTCGCATGAGCTGGGAGCACTAAAACTGCCAGTGTAAAATGGCTCATGGCTTTGGGTACAGTGGTAACCATATACCCAAAGGAGCATTGTTTACTTTTTAATGCACTTTTGAAAAAACACTTTATATTTCTAAGCCTTCCTCCCCTACGTAATTCTACACACTGACTTACCAAGATGGTTCTTTTTGTGTAGAAGGGATGCTAGGTGTCCAGGAGACGTTTGGGATGAGAAGAAAAATAGTCCATCAGCTTGGTGTTCACCTACACAATAGATTAATTCTGGTTTGGGTCCTGCCCATGGGACATGACTCTTACAGAACTACTCAACCTTGTAGTGTTTGCCTGCCAAATATTTTCCCTTTTCTCCCCAAATGTTTCTCTGTTCACTTAATTGATTTTCATTTCTCTGTGAGAAATCTCAGTGTGTAATTCCAGACGTAGAATTGGACATCTTCAAATACCTCTTGTTCCTGGGGGAATCCATTGTTTGGAATGCAAAGCTTCTGTTCTCTCTACATTTCCAACTAGATCGAGCACTTTCTGTTGCTTGCTGCTTCAGCAAACTTTGCATACATTAACTTGTTTCCCAGTTTGGTGTGACACAGCTTCCAAATGAGACAAAGACAAAAGATGTTAGCGATGTCTGCTAAAGCTGGACTTGCTTCTGATGGAGAAGTGCATGCAGCAAAATGTCTGCCTCATTAGGAAAACCTGCTCATATTTTCTCATTTTGTGTGTGTTTAAGTGTCTGTTTCACCAATAAAGTCTGAGGACTTTGGGGAAGCAGGCGATACACAGCTGTAGCTAACGTAGCAGCACAGTTGAGCATGTGAGACGTGGTGTAAAAAATAGATGCAAATGGTAAATATCTAGTTCCAAAAGCTAAAACTAAGGAAAATACATGAAATAAAAAGCTTCAATTTTCACTTGCTAGTAACAGCTTTGAACTGAGTGTTGTGTCAATATTGCAACAGCATTAACAAGGCAACTTGCAAGAACAAACATGCAAATCCCCTCTGTATACATCTACAACAAGCTGAGCACAGTGGGGGATAGCATCTGTAGCCAGCTCTCTGCTCAGACTTCTAACAGTCATGACAGTTACATGGCAAGATACACGTAACTGCTATCTGCAGCCCTGTCCTGCTGTCTTTTCTCCTAGCCTTAAGAGTGGCTGCTGCTGCTGTTGGCAGGAGGAGGGAAGAGTGGTGGAAAGCTTAGAGTGGTTTGAGTTGGAAGGGCCCTTAAAGGCCACCTGGTTCCCTGCAGTGCACAGGGACACCCACAGCTCCATCAGTGCTCAGAGCCCCTCCAGCCTGACCCTGGGGATGTGCAGGGATGGGACCCCATCACACCCCTGGGCAGGGCCTCCCTGCCCTTTCTGTAAACAACTTCGTCCTTATATCCAGTCTAAATCTCTTCATGGCTCTGATATTTTTACAGGTTATTGCTTGCATAATTTCTGATTGGTTTGGGGAAAAGCCTTCCGCATGAGATGGAGAAGACACAAGGGGCAGAGGCAGATGCAGTGAAAGCCCCAATGTTGGGCTGGTGGCATTGGCCAGAAATGGACAGTGATGAGATAGGAAACACTCGTAGTGGAAAAGAATAAAAAGCAGTTCCGGACTTGTCTTTCTCAGCTCTTGCATGGGGAGAGGAACGGGGTGAAGAGTGCTGGGACTTCCCTGTCTTCCAGTTTCCTCTTTTATGTCCTGATGTAAATAACAAAGCTTATACCCTTATCCTTCCTTTCTCCGTCACATTTGAGCTGCTTCATGGGATGGGGCAGGAGGGAAGTGAAATGCTCCACAGCCATGTTTTATTCATTTCTTTGGACTCAGTTGGTAAAAATCCTGTGTGCCACAATGCAAGGGAGGACAGAGTCCCACTGCTGCCAGATTGAAAGGAAGCCTATCTGTACAAGTTGTTCTCAGCCTGTGGGCTTAGAGGTATTCTTTCTGTGCATTGCTCTTCTGCAGCACCACGTACCTGTACAGATGTTTGAAAGGTGATTAACAAAAAGGCAAGAAGTTATTGCAGAAAACCAGGTGAACATAGATGTACTGGTCTGGTGCTGGGAAGGCACTGCAAAGAGAAGTTTGCTTAAAACCTGAGTAGATTCTTGAGTGATTATACTTGGATATCAGTGCTTCTGATGCCTATGCTCACTAGTAGTGTTGGCTGCTTCACCAAACAATGACAGCTGTATTGAGAGCGTGGGGTTTTCCTTCATTTGGAGAAAGTGAGAAGTGTGAGCCCTGAATTCCCCCAGAGCAAAGTGGAGAACAAAGATAGGCTGTTCTAATCAGTCACTGCAAGATTTGTCATCCAAAAGAGCGAGGTGTTCATCGGATGATGCTGCCAGCAGCTTTGAATGACTGGGGCTGGAGATGGAGCTGATTGTGGTGATGGTCTGTGGACCTGCAGGCAGCAGATGGTGCTGAAGTGCAGCCTGTTCAGATGTGCTCCTCATCAGCTCGGAACAACCAGGCTAGGAGGCCCTACATTACAGTTTGACAATGTCTGCCAATTTCTATGTTCCCACACCAAACTGAGCTTGCTGATGTTTCTCTTCATGGAGTTTAACCTGTCATAATTTTTGATGGGAATTCAAAATGTGTAAGTGCTATAGTCTGAGAAGTAATTATTGCACACACAGCTTAGTCCCGTGGGTATGAGCTAGCTCCCAGTGTTGCAGAAATATCCTCTAATAGTCCTGACACATTATTGTGTCAGAACTTGTAGAAGCTGTGGGTGCCCCATCCCTGGAGGGGACCAGGGGTGGGCTGGAGGGGCCCTGGGCAGCCTGAGCTGCTGGGGGTTGGAATGAGGTGGTCTTTAAATCCCTTCCAACCCAAGCCATTCTATGATTCCATGATTGTCATCATCTGACTTTGAAAAGGGCCTTCTGAGTGGATCTCTAAATGGATTTCTGAGGGTGAAAATGGATCTTCTGAGTGAGCCAGAAGTTTGTGGGACCCCACAGGTCCTGTGCTGCTTGATATTTTCATTAGTGCTCTTTGAAACAAGTACAGGCCTGTTAAATTTGCAGAGCATGGAAACGTTGTGAGTGATCTAAAGAGAGCCTGAGAACAGTATACAAGTGCATAAAAGACTACTAAGGAGGGGCTATATGATAGAGGGGGACAAACTCTTGAGCAGGGTCTGTTGTGATAGGACAAGGGGAAATAGCTTCAAGCTAACAGAAGGGAGATTTAGATTGGATATAAGGAAGAAGTTGTTTCCAGTAAGGGCGGTGAAGCAGTGGCACAGGTTACCCAGGAGCAGTGGTGCCCATCCCTGCAGACCTCCAGGGTGAGGCTGGAGGGCTGTGAGCGCTGATGGAGCTCTGGGCATCCCTGTGCACTGCAGGCAGTGGGACCAGATGGCCTTTAAGGGTCCCTTTCTTCTCAAACTGTTCTGTGATTCTCTGATTCTATTGCAAGGAAGACTGAACAAACTGAACATGCTGGTTAAGACGTGATATTCTAGTGTCATACTAAAACCAAAAATGGAAGAAGAAAATATAGCAGCAGGGAGGGAACGCTAGCAGAGTGAGGAAGTCTGTTCCTGGAGTGAGCCTTTATCTTCTGCGTGGAAGCTGAAAACTTTCTACAGCCCTGATTTCTCTGTTTCCCTGAAAAACCACTTGCTCTAACCCTGAGGGGCTCTCCCTGCCTTCATTAAGCGCACAGGAAGAAAACCACGTGTTCTTACTCAGCTGGTTGCTCCTGATCTGAGCCGTAGAAGTGAAGAAGTGCAGGTTAGTTGTCACTAGACTTCATCCAGTGTTAGCAAATAAGGGTTGCATACATTTCCTGCCTGATCTGCTGAGGCATTACTGCTGTCCCCCAACCCAGTGCCACTTCTGTGTGTGCCCTCACTCCTGAGCCCACTGTGCTGAGGCATCTCAGCATCTTCAGAGCCACCATATCCTCTCCGTATCCTCTGATTCACTCAGTTGTGAAGATCAGCCGGTCTGTATTCACCTTGCTGGGCTACAGGGTTAACCTGGCACCACAAGGTGGGTGCTGCAGTCTCCTGAGTCATCTGCTTTTGACCTTTTCCTCCCTGTGCTGCTGTTTTTAGGGAACCCAGTCATCGGCAGTGTGATGATTTCACATCCTGCCTCTTCTGGCTGCTGTTGCAGAATTGCTCTCAGGCTTCTTCCTCTTCTTCCTTGCAAGCAGGCTGTCTGCCCTGCAGCTCATTTCAGCAGCAGAGGCTGTGCTGCTGCCTCACTGCTGTCTAGCCACGTGCACTCCGAGCTAGCAGGATCTGTTGTTATTTCTTGTGCCTGAGATTTTTACTCTGTGTTGCTGGAGGTGGCTGCCAAGTCCCTGTGTCCTTCTGTCCCCAAACATCCCTGCACTCATGTTTAAACCTCAAGAGATGAAGGGCATTAAGCCAGCACCCCTAGTTTGAATGTCATGTCACAAAGATGCTTGGAGGTCTCAGAACGTAAACCCATGAATCAGGCCTTGGAAAGGGACTTTGGGATCAGGCTGAGCCACACAGGCTGTAGTAACCCTGCTCTCACCTCTGTGAGCAGCAATTCCCTCTTTCATCTCAAGCTCACAATGTGGAATTGAGTCTGAGCACGAGCCCACTCCAGCTTCTCCCTTATCCCTTCAAGGGATGGGCTGTGGGGTTGGCATGGAGCAGGACTGGCCTGGTACCCACAGAGCAGCTCTCCAGCAATCAGGAGAACTTTGAAACAAGGCACATGTGGACTGAGACACCTTTCCCTGCTAACATCTGCGTATCTGGTGGTCTCTAAATGGTGCATGGGTGCATAGGGCAAAAGCAGCACAGCGAGGCCTGCTCCAATGGCCGTGTGGCATTAGTCCTAATGACACATCTGTGGGTGAAGGATGGGTCTAGGTGAAACACTGAGCTATGTGTTGTTATTTCTGGTTTCCTGCACTCTTTGGGGCTCCTTTCTGCTTTCCTACAAGGCAAATTTGATGTTAGGAAAAAATTTTTTTACTCAGTGGGTGGTGAGGCCCTGGCACTGCTGCCTGGAGCTGTGGGTGCCACATCCCTGGAGGTGCTCAAGGTCATGGAAGAGGGGGCCTGGGCAGCCTGGCAGTGGGACCAGCCCACAGCAGGGGTTGGAAATGGATGATCCTTAAGGTCCTCTCCATGATTCTATGATTTCAGGGGGATTAGGGTCAGCGTTATAAAGTCCAGGGGAGTCCAACCCTGGGACTGCATGGAGATGCCTAGATTTGGGTAAAGAGCAGCTTTCACACTAAAGAACACTTTGAATCACGAGCAACATCTCTCCTGAGAGGAGAGGGTGTCATTCTGTAGGAGCAGAGTTACACTCAGCAGGGGGATGGCATAAGGCCTGCAGGAAGGAGCTGCCCTTGAGGGGTAGTAAAGGGCTGATGTCCACCATTACTTCAAACTTGGTCCTAAAAGCAAAGACAAGGTGCAACAGCTTGCCCAATGGATTGTAACCCCCTGTGCTCTTCCTCAGGGGCTCATGGAAGGAAAGAAAAGAATGGCTTCAAGTTGCACAAGTGAAGGTTCAGGTTGGAGATTAAGAAAAATTTATTCTCCTAAAGAGCTGTGATGCAGTGGCATAGCTGCCCAGCAAGGCGTGGGAATCCCTGTCCCAGGGGGTGTTCAAGAACTGTAGAGATGTGGCACTGAGGGACGTGGTCAGTATTGGTGGTAGGTGATGGTTGAACTGGTTGATCTTAGAGGTCTTTCCAACATTAATGATTCTATGGAAAACCAGTCCTCTGCAGCTGAGAAGTGGAAGAGACTGCCCAAAGAGAGCTTCATGGCTGGCCATGGGAATAGGGGAACATTGTGAGTGCTGGTTGGGGGCATTGAAGTGAGAGACCATTAAATAACCTTATGACTCAGTCCTGCATCCTGGGGATGAGAGAAGCAAGGGGAAAGGCATGCAAACTGAGCCCTGAAATAATGTGCCAGTAAGCCTAAAAGGGAGATTCCAGGAAAAAAAAAAAGAGGAACTCAATAGAAATAGACTGAACATTTAAAGCAATGCTGTAAGAATCTTTTGACTCACCAGAGAATCAGCCTAGGA